AGCGAATCGCAACATTGTACAAGACCATCGAGAGTCACGCCACCTATCTCACAACTAAGCAATGGGAAGACACCTGCAACGAGTTCGAAGGAGCTCCCAACACTCCAAAGACGTGGAACATCCTTCGACATCTCCTCGACCCCGGACAAAGCCGAACCACAGTCCGAAATCAGATGGAGTGTATCCTGAACTCATTCAAGGGAGATGGAAACGAGCTTGTCCAAGAAGTACAAAACAAGTATATCGAACGAGCTCCGCCAACACCTGCGATGGAATACACGGGCCAGCCAAACCTTACGCTAGACGAAGAATTCCGACCCTTCGAAGTCATGGCTGCGATCCGAGAGCTCAAGGCCCGCTCCGCTCCAGGACCTGATGGAGTCTCCAACAAGCTACTGCGGCACTTGGATGACAGAGAGATTGACCGGCTAACATCATACTTCAACGTCTGCTGGCAAAAAGGAGAAATCCCAGAATCCTGGAGGACTGCGAAGATGGTGTTTATACCCAAGCCTGGGAAAAAACTTCAACTGGAAGCCCTGCGCCCCATTTCGCTCACGTCCTGTCTCGGGACGGTCTTGCAGCATGTCGTACTCAATCGCCTTAACAGGTACGCAGAGGCCAACAAAGTCTTCGCGGACACGATGGTCGGGTTCAGACCCAAGCTCTCGACGCAGGACGTGATGCTCCGACTGTATCATCAGATTATGGCAAGGGAATACGCACCCAAAAGGGACACCAGAGCCATACTCGGGCTGGACATCTCCAAAGCATTCGACAATGTCAGCCACGCAGCCATCCTCCGTGGGCTAAACTCCATTGATGTGGGAGAGCGCATCTTCAAATACATACAGAACTTCCTATCAAGTAGGCAGGTGCAGGTCTCGATCGGCGGTTTCCAATCTGACCTGCAAACTCTGGGCGGAGTCGGAACACCGCAAGGAGCAGTGCTCTCTCCGTTTCTCTTCAATATCGCCATGAAAGATTTACCGACGAAACTACAAGATATCCCCAACCTTCACCACAGCATATACGCAGACGATGTCACTCTGTGGATGGTAGGAGGAAGCGATGGCGCCATCCAAGACTCGCTGCAAGAAGCTATACGCATCGTGGAAGCCTACGCTAAGGAGCGCGGACTAGCCTGCTCTCAGGAAAAGTCGGAGTTGCTACTCATGGCCGGCACCACGGTAAAAACTGCCTCAGGCATCATACTGCAGGTCGGAGGCAAAGACGTCCCTCGGGTCCGGCGACTTCGGATACTCGGTCTGTGGTTGCAGGAGGATGGCAAGAACACATACAGCATCGGAGTCCTCCGTAACCACGCACAGCAAGTAGGAAGACTCATAGCAAGAATCGCCGAAAAACGGTACGGGACGAAAGAGCGGAATGTCATTCACCTTATCAAAGCCTTCGTGATTAGCCGGATTGCCTACATTGCACCCTTCCTGGACTTGACACTCACGGAGAGGGATGCCATCGATCGCATCATCCGCTGCGTATACAAGAAAGCGCTTCACCTAACACCTTCAACACAGACCAAGCGACTCGAGAAGCTTGGGCTTCACAACACCCTCTCGGAAATCATTGAGGCACAGAGGATAGCCCACTACGAAAGGCTATCTCTGACCACAGCGGGAAGAACCATCCTCACATCTTTGGGCATCAACTACCACCCAACAGGGCACAGTACGCGAGGCTGGCTTCCAAACGAGCTACGCGAGCAACTAAAGATTTCGCCTCTGCCTCGTCACATGCATCCAGTGCACGACGCAGGCAGACGCATGGCCAGAGTGAAGGCTCTGGAGAACACTCTACAGCAAGGCTACGACGACTCCGAGGTGACCTATGTCGACGCAGCCTCAGCTGACAGGGGTCGAATGACCCTTGCAGTTACGAATCGCTCCGGCCAAATCCTCACGGCAGGCAGCATGTACACCCGCAACAGTGCAGAGGCAGAGGAGGCGGCCATCGCCTTGGCCCTCACCCTCAGCACCACGAAAGTCATCGTCAGTGACTCCCAGATGGCCATCCGCCAGTACATGCGTGGTCACATCTCTGACAAAGCCCTCAAGATCGCCACTGGTCATCGTCTGATTGACCACCCAGTCCGCATACTGTGGTCTCCAGCCCATGCGTCACTCCCAGGCAACGAGAGTGCTCACAGTGCAGCCTGCGCTCTTACCAACCGGGCTAGCACACCAAGTGAGCACTCGATCTTCGCCACGTGGAACCACGACAACCTCTACACCTTTAAGGGGGTGCTGGACCACTACCGAGTAGAACGCCGAGCCTACCCAGAGGCTCACAGCACTCTCAACAAGGCAGAATCCACCATTCTCCGTCAAGTCCAGACGGAGACCTTCCTCAACCCGGCGCAGTTGCACTCGTGGTACCCAGATACCTACGACCCGTCTTGCAGGAACTGTGGCGAGATCGCCACACTCCACCATATACTCTGGGGGTGTCCGGAGCTGCTTCTTCATTCGAAGAATAAGGAGTTCATCAAGCAAGCCAGGCAACCAGGCGCCTGGGAATCCTTCCTGCGGGATCCTGACCGTGCACGACTCAGAAAATTCTAGTCCAGCTGGCCTCGGACGCCGCCGGGAACATCGCGTCTCGTCTGTCGACCGAGGGGATCGCTTCGTCAAGGGTCTCTCCCTAAGAGAGACTCGGTTGACGCGGGGATCTAACAGTCTTGGACCCAATAAAGTCTACCTCACCTCACGGCGAATACCGGCTGGTCCTATCAACTGCAGAGAGCACGCCATGATGTTGAGCCCCTTTCGCTGTTTGATTGGTCCTTCGGCTCATAACATTGGCCGTGCTAGTACCTAGTCTGAAACGAAGTATTGGAAACAAAATAGCAAAAGAAACAAAAATAATGGCAAACTACGGATGCGTGTAAAACACAATCCTGTCGAGCGCAGTACGGAAGCACAGTTCACAGTCATTGAGCGTAGTACCGCTTGAGTCTCACGACGCGGACGACTTCCGGTCGTGGAGGGCGGCGTGATGAAGTCCGTGTTCCGTCAGGCATCACCTCGTAGTTCAGGTCCCCGAACCGCCAACTCCACCGCGAAGCTCCCGTTCGCTTTTGCATCGACATGCGCTCTTGCCCTTCCGCCGCTCTCGTCGGGACAGCCTGTCCCCCCTACCTTTTCGGGAAAACTAAATGCGGTAACGTCTGGAGATGGCGTTGCCGAAGACGACCGAAGTAAAGAGCCTCCAAGAACGCCGGAACGTTCCCCCTCTCTCGACGTCACACATCGCAAAGACGTTCCTTCAACGGTGCCTTACAACCTAAACGTTGTTATCGACGGCCACGACGCATCGGCTCTCGTGGACACCGGAGCAGACTACCTAGCACCTCCACCAAAAGGTCACGAATGACAATTGATGAGGCGACGAAAGCTGAAGCAAACTAAACGTTTAATGGGGCGAACCTTTGTCCAAAACAAAAAATAAAAAAAAAAAAAAGACTAGCGTCGCAGGCTTCGATGGCGGCGAACAAGCAGGATCGAGCGCTGGGTTGAGCTCGCCACGTGGAGCACCTTTTGCACCCGCGTTTGTGTCTGGAACATTCGCCGTAGGACTTTCGGTGCGTAGCTCAATCAGACGACGACGTTCTCGAACTTACGAGAACGCCAAGTTGAAAGAATAAATAAATGTACATTCCGCTCCTTGGAATCGAACCTGGAGCCTCCGCGCGATAGCCAAGCGCGGTAACCATACGGTCATGCACGCGCTCGCTCGGCGAGGCGCGTGGCAATATTTGGGACTGGTGGTACACTGGTGGCAACAACAAGAGAGAATAAATCTTTATTAAAATAAAACATTCAAAGTGTATATTTTAACAGCTCAAGGACCAGCGCCGACTACCACAGACCATTGATTGAAATTATGAGCATCATATAAATTTGACAAAAATATGTATATATGTTTATAGACCTCCTCAGTATGAGAAGGTATTCAAGCTACATGGTCGTCAGACCGACAGCCTCAAAAACGGTGCTCTGTCCCTTCCAAAAATAAGCTGCAGCACAGCGAAGGCATGCCAGGAGATTACCATACATGAGATTTGCTCTTGCCAATGAACCCTTGATTAACCCTCTTCTCTTTTGTTCTACACTCAAGAACAATTATGGTGGAAATAACGCCACCAAAGTAACGGTCACTTACTTTTACAGAAGGCTAATTTTAATTGTAATTACTTATAATTTAGCCTCGATTAATTTCCAATGTAATCCCTTACTCTTTTTAGTAACGTGTACAAGCCTGCTTGCACGTTTTTCTAGTGGTTCTAGTGACCGGCCATACCAAAATGTCGTGTTTCGTTTTCGATTATTTTCCTCTTCACGATCATTTTTATTTTGTTGAACTTGACATATTTATTCTGCTGATTTGCCTCCTCATATTGCTCCAGTTTTTTTTTTTTGCATTATGTTCATATTAAAAAGAAAGTTACGAGTAGATAAACTAATGCGTTACCGTATTTTGTAACGAAATTACATTACAGAATATTGCCGCAAATAAGTACCGTGACAGTTACAACATTTCTTTAAAAAAGTAACGGATTACTTCTCAGGAGTGGTCTCAGCGTAAGGGTAAAGAGAGTAGAGACAGTAGGTTTTGCAGTATTTGTGAAATCAAATATACACGCTATCTTCCGGAAAGGTCACTTATAGCATTGTCAGATTTAATTTACCCTCGTGATAAAAGAATGATGAGTAAAAAAAATAGGAAATATACGTGAGCCCTGTAAGGGTGCCGGGTCTAACCGATATATAGCGCCACTAAGTTTGTTGCCTAAGAAAAATGGGCGAATACCATAGAGACAGGCTACTTTCCTGTTATTTATGAAAAGTGTTCGGTTCTATTTATTGTTAAAATAAATTTTGCCTTTTAAACAATCCCACTGACATTATTATGTGTTTTTAAAAGATTCCCGCGAAAAAGTTTGGTCGAATTCAGATGAAAGCACTCATTTAAATAATAAATTATTCAGTAACTTCTACGGCCGCTCCAGTCATGAAGCTACTCTTCGGGCTGCACATGAACGCAATCGTCTCGGATATTTCTTCGGGACGGGCCTTGCGCTTCAAGGCGGTTTGATCTATTAAAACAGCCAACATGTTCGCAGGCACTTTTTCGAGTAAAGGCGTATCGACGGGGCCCGGTAGGATGGCATTGACACGGATTCCCTTGGTCGCCACCTCGAGTGCCACTGCCTTGGTCAGAGAGATGACACCGCCCTTGGAAGCCGAGTAGGCCGAGAGCCCTGGAAAACCCCCCGTTCTCGCAGCGATACTCGCGATGTTTACGATGGCGCCGTCCTTGACGCTCTTGGTCAGCATCGACGTCACCGAAGCTCGATTCACGAGGAACGTTCCCTACGTGTGAAAGACGTCAACTATAGATCACTTCACAAATTGAGCGCCATCTGCACACGGTTTCACCTTATGTTGTAGCGCAACGAAGGCTAGAAGCATGAGCTCATAGCGTTGGCAACTGCCCTTAATGCACGTGATCTTTTGCCTCCGAGATGTGCCCTAGAGCAAGGAGCTCGCGCTTGTAGACTTTCCTGCAGTACATCATAAGGTGAAACAGAGGATAGTGCATGGTTAAAATAGGTCTGAATTATACGCAGCTTGTATGGGACGCCATTCGTGGCCATACACAGTATCTTATGCGCCGCAAGCGTTTGGTTTGCCACGATAGTTTCACACCGCAGATGTAGTTTGAAGGAACCAGTAAGTAGAAATAACCGTCAGTACCCAGCAACGGCGACACTTGCAAGATTTGAATTGCATGCTAAAGACGGCTTAATTCGTATAGTGCCTCTTCGTCCAGGTCAGAAGAACGAACATTGCGGTGTTTTCCCTTCACAGTTATTGCTTGATTTATTTTAGTTTCGATGGTATCCAGAAACTACTACTCTCAATGAGGCGCTTAGTTGAGTAAAGGCCTGTTCACACAAGCAACGGAGCGCTACAAGCATAGCGCTGACCTCGCGCTAAGCGCGTGCTGATGCGAGCGTTCATCAGCTTTGTGTCGCACCGTCCAAACTGTTGCTCATGGCAGACGATAAGTAGCTGACGACACGTGAGGAGCGCTACATCAGCGCTTCGCTGCATGTGAGAACCGGCCTTAAACCTCTCGATGAAATTCACCCCATATGTGCTGCCATGAGCTGTCAAAGGCGTGCCGAAACCGAGCATTCCAAGTCTAGTATACTGTATCTTAATTCAATGTTTATTTGATGAGTAAAAGAGTTTGGTCTCATATCGGTGAGACCGGCAACTTCAAATCAAGTAATGTGCTGTATGAATGATCTATAACATCCAGTTATAAAATCAGAACACCATGAATAATACTCTCAGTTACCATACACGCACAAAAAAATTACACGGTGAGAGAAGCTATTACGCAGTAAATACACATGTACATACGTACAATAAATTACTGTAACACCCCAGTAATAAAATTACAATAAAAACGCAGTTATCTTTAAGGGCGCGTCGTACGTATTCTGACCCTTCGAATAATACCTAATATTTCTGAACTATCTTTGTGTCAGTGAAAAAATTACGTAGTAAAGTTGATGCCCTCTTCTGTTTTTTAAGTTCGGCCAAGGACCTAAAACTTTGGCCGAAGAAAAAGAGCGATGGTCGAGTATACTTAGTCCCACTCGTAATCGAGTTAGCCACTGGTCGTATCTTGTACAGTCCATTATTATGTGCTCGACGTCTTCCACGGGATGGCCACACGTGCAGCTCGGTGTTTCCACCTGTTGAATTCGGCAAAGAAATCTGCCGCTGTATGCGACATTTAGTCGTAAGCGATGAATTAATGTTTCAATATGTCCGCTCAAGTAATTATGGACTGGACACCGAGGGTCTGGGTCAAATAAAAGGAGTAGGTTCTGTTCCGAGAAGCTCTTGAGCCACGTGTCAGGAGATATCTTGTTTCTTAGACAACGAATGTACCGCTTAGCATCGCTTTTTGTAAATATGTGTAAGCTGGACGTTGTTGCTCGTATATACATCCGTGGCCAGTTGGTCAGCTTGGGTGTTTCATGAAAGACCGCTATGTCCAGGAACCCATTGAAGGTGTACCGTATGTCCAAATCCTATTGCTTTCCCAAGTTCTTCACAAGTTCGGTACACCAGAGACATAGTTTCGTTGCGAGTATTCAGGGTCTTAATGAATCGGAGTGCTGGCTTGGAGTCGGTACATATAACGTAGGAATTCGCTGTCGAGCTAGCTTTGATGTACATTGCAGCCGCGAGTAAAGCGTGCAATTCTGCGTTAGTTAAAGAAGTATGATGTGACAACCAAAAGGATGACCAATGGTTGAAATGGGGTACTAGAAATGCTGATGTTGATCCTTCATCCTTGGTTGACCCGTTGGTGTACACTTAGATGTTGTCGCCGTATTTTTGCTGTAGATGTGCAAAAGTCAATGTCCTTGCAACGTGTGAACTGACCGATGCTTTTGTTTCTGGAATGTTCATGTTGACGTCTAGTAATGGAAGCGTCCATGGTGGCTTATGAATGTCCTGAAGCCAGTGTGTTTGTTCAGCGATTAACAGGTGCATATAATTCAATGTTCGAAGAAAGTTCGTCCCTTTGCGAGAAAGAATTTCATAAAAGGGGCCGCGCAGAAAGTCTAAAAAGATTACGACATACTTCCTGGATTCTTAGGATAGTTACTAGTGGTTCTTTGGCAGTAGCGAGTACAAGCGCACTGCATGTTGCTCGCGGAAGACCTAAGCATACTCTTAGACTTCTTGCAAGTATAAAAGTAAGGCGAGCTTCTGATGTGTTGGAAAGCCGCTGTAACACAGGTATAGAATAGGCAATCGCTTGTCGCACTACCGCCGTGTGGAATGAGAGCATTGAATCGATTGAGGCTCCCCATTTTGCACCCGCGATGCATCGAAAGACATTAATTACACTATTATTTCTCGTAAGTTGTGATAGAGTGCAGGCAAGTTGGTAATTAATCGACATATTGTAAACCCTGAGATGGGGAACGATAAAAAAAAAATAAAAACGGACGAACACAACAAAATCTCAAGAGATTTTGTTGTGTTCGTCCGTTTTTATTTTTTATCGTTCCCCATCTCAGGGTTTACAAGATGTCGATTATTTCTCCCCTCCAGCATATTTATATGTTTGGACCATGTCAGGGATTGGTCGAGTAGGACTCCAAGAAATTTGTATAAGTGAACTCGGTGAATTGGGTCTCCATTTACATTAAGTTCAAAACCGGGAAGCTTTTTTCTGGCAAATGGTATAAATGCCGATTTCGTGGCAGATAGCTCCATTCCTCGTTCTCTTAAAAAATTGTTTGTCGTGTATAAGGCTATCTGTAACTGATTCTTTAAAATATCTGGGGACGAGCCAGAGATCCAGATGCAAATATCGGCAGCATATATAGATATTCGTAAAGGCGGCTGTATTTTCTGCGGTAACTGCGCCATTACGACATTCAAAAGAGTAGGGCTCAACACGCTACCTTGAGGTACTCCATGGTGCAGTTTATGATGCTTGCTGTCTGCATCATTTGCACACACTACGATGTTCCTGCATCGAAGAAACTGTTGTATCCAACGAAGCATGCGTCCATGTACAGCAAGAACCACAAGTCCTTCAAGACCATGAGCGTGACTGACCGTATAAAATGCTCGGCGAATATCTAGGAACACTGCCAGACTAATGCTTCCGTTACCCCGTTCATATATTACACAGGTGGTGAGGTCTAAGATGTCATCCATTGTGCATTTACGTGCACGAAATACTGCAATTTCTTTGGGAAACGCTTTACTAGTTTCCAACCACCACTGTAAGCTGTTATGTAAGATCTTCTCGAGCGGCTTTCCGACGCAACTGGTTAAACTTACAGGGCGGAATATATCCAGGCTCGTTGGGTGATTTCCCAGGTTTTAAGAGCGGAACTATTTTAGCTAGCTTTCACGATTCCGGTATTGTCTCTGTTTTCCAAACTTCATTGTGTTTAGAAAATTTTATTTACAACAGTGGTGTCATGCCCATAACAAAACCAAAACCCGAGAACGCGATATGTACAGTATATAGTCTTTCAAGCTATAGTCGGTTGCAAGCTAAGAAAAAACCGGAAATGCCTCTCAGAGGAAAATGTAATCCTACGCTGAGAAACGCCAGCCAATCGTTTTCATGACGTCACGATTCCGTGCACCAATCGCGATACTTTTGAAAAAAAAAAAAAAGCTCAACATGGCTGCTGGCCTTAGCAACGCGACGCTAGTTTCTCGTGACAATTATTCTGCTTTTTTGCGCCATGTTTTACGTGCCCGAGGTTACGCCACGAAATCTTAATGATATCAGCTTGCGTTTGCAGCAGTTTTTGCGCGACAACGTGAGAATCCGGCGACGCTATCGCCAACGAAAATTTCAAAGCAGGCGCGAGGCTTAGCACTGCTGAGAGGTGAGAAGCTACGCCGGACGTCGTCTGCTTCGCTTTGGTGCCGCCGGTAAGGCTGCACCAGGCTGTTTCGTCCAAGAAGAATCAGGGGAATCGCTTTCCGATGTCACCTCAGTGGGATCCATGACGGAAGACAAAGAGAGCGGGGCGCGGTGGTGGTGTCGATGACTTGGGAGGGTGCCGATTTGTCAAAACCCAAAAAGTATAATTATTTTTGTTTTCTATTCATCCAACAAAATAAAGGCACACATTTCGTGCGCAAAGCCCACTAAAATAAGTAAATCCCTAAATATTTATTATTTGCAGGAACTATAAGTGCTTCGCTTTCCCTCAACCGAAGGCGCTGGAAGACGGTAAGTTAGACAGTATCTTGGACAGAAAATGAATTGGGAAGACAGTACATTGGACATGACTTTCTTTCTTTACTAAACAGCTATTTCGTTGACAAAAACATATTCCAACTCATTTAAATGTCCTGAATGAATTAAATAAATATTGTAGTAGTTCAAGACACGTTTCCTGGAGGAAGAAAAAGCAACGTTGCTAGCGAAATACTTTCTCGACGGCGGAAGCACTTCAGATGGGCGCAATGCGCTTGTGGGTGGAGCTAGAAGATTGTTCTCAGGTTGCATCCGACTATAGCCAACCCCGTGCCTAAGGCGCGGGCACGCACCCACCGCTCGGCAAAGCGCCCGTCCGCGCGATCACTCGCGCAAAGAGGCCCCCCAACCGGTACCGCGCTCGCACGTCCCGACCCTGCGACGCCTCAAAGAGAGGGCCGCATCGTCGTCCCGTTCCCCCTTTCTCCGCCTAAAGCGGTCTAGATATGATCAACATATTGAAAACGGAGTTCAATGCGAGAGTTGTGCACGTGTAGGTATCGGCAGGACCAGCGCCGCAGGAACTCCTGTTCTCCGAGGAGGA